CAACAGGAGGTCCTCTGGGCTCACCCACGTTGTCACCAAGGATGGTTTTTCCCCTGAGTATTGCCTTATGTCCCCTTCTCTTTATCCAGTCATCTTTGGGATTTCAATGCTAATACAGATTGATAGAGATTCCTGAACAACATACACATTTAGCTGTGCTTATTTCTTAACTTGATTGACACATCAATGTCCATGTTCTTCCTCCACTTGCTGGGTGCTGCTCCTGAGACTAAGCCATGCTGACACGGGGAGCAGCAGCCTGTCCACACCTTCTCTGTGTCACCTGGGGTACTTTCGCTTAAGACCCTCTAAGTGAGTACTACGGGGCCTTGCAGTAGAACGCCTGGGTCACACATTCTAGGGATGTTTAACTTCTGAACAGAACAACACTACTTTTTTTCTTTTTTTTTTTTTTTTTTTGACAGGCAGAGTGGACAGTGAGAGAGAGAGACAGAGAGAAAGGTCTTCCTTTGCTGTTGGTTCACCCTCCAATGGCCACCGCGGCCGGCGCACCGCACTGATCCGAAGGCAGGAGCCAGGTGCTTCTCCTGGTCTCCCATGGGGTGCAGGGCCCAAGCACTTGGGCCATCCTCCACTGCACTCCCTGGCCACAGCAGAGAGCTGGCCTGGAAGAGGGGCAACCGGGACAGAATCCGACACCCCAACCAGGACTAGAACCTGGTGTGCCGGCGCCGCAAGGCGGAGGATTAGCCTAGTGAGCCGCGGCGCCGGCCACAACAACACTGCTTCCCAAAGTTCCTGTCCCAATGTGCTCCACTTCCCATTCTCACCAACACGTGGTGGTGCCTTATTAATGCAATGGAGCACCAACTTTGTTGTTGGTTGCTGAGTTTCCTCTTCTGTGAAGTGCCTGTTCAAGATCTCCTCATGGGGCTGGTGCTGCTGCATAGCAGGCAAAGCTGCCTCCACCTGCAGTACTAACATCCCAGGTGAGCACCAGTTCGAGTCCCGGCTGCTCCCCTTCTCATCCAGCTCCCTGCTGATGGCCTGGGAAAGCAGCAGAAGATGGCCCACGTGCTTGGGCCCCTGCACCCTCTTGGAAGACCCAGATGAAGCTCCTGGCTCCCAGCTTTGGCCTGGCCTAGCCCTGGCCATTGCAGCTATCTGTGGAGTGAACCAAAGAATGGAGGGCTCTCTCTCTCTCTCTCTCTCTCTACCTCTCCCTCTCCTTCTCCCTCTCCTTCTCTGTAACTCTGCTTTTCAGATAAATAAATACATCTTTTCAAAAAATAAGAATTAGACCTAGGATTTTCTCAAATGCCTTTTCTGCATCTATACCCCCCATCAGCAGAATGCTTCCATCTCCGCCCGAGGCATCCCCAAACCTCGGGAGTCTGGGATTTCATTATGTAAATCAGGCCCTGGTGCAGAGTCAGCCTTGGTCGGAAGACACAGGAATTGAGAGACAAGTTGTCTCCCACAGCCCCACCACGCGGGACCCACTCCCTGTGAAGAAAGGGAAGGGTGGGGGGTGCGCAGCCATGACCAGTCCACAGCAGTCTGGAAGCCCAGAACACGGCAGTGGGCAAACTCCCTTCTCTGAAACCCGCGGTTCTTTCTACGCTGCAGTGTTTCTTGTTTCCTTGTGCGCCTCCTCACTTGTCGCACTCACGAGAGCCATTTCTCCCACAACCCAGGGAGCGAGTCTTGGGGTTTCTCTGAGGCTCAGTGCCCTCTTCCAGAGAATATTTCCACTTGTGCCTGCAGAGGTTCTCCCTGCTCGCTTACAAAGGAGTCCATTCGTGCTAGCAGGTAAAGGGTTTATCACTGCTGTTTTTAAATGAATGGAGGTGGCAGAGGGGGTCCAGGGGGCACAGTGAGGTGGCAGGAATAAGTTGTAGCACTCGCAGACCGGGGGTGGCTGTGGTGCACAGTGGCCTGAACACAGAGAGCAGAGGTGCTGGAGGTGATGACAGGGTCAAGGGACCGTGCGTGCTTCGACTCCGTCGGTCCACGCTGTGAACGGCTGCTGAAACACCACACAGTGCACTGTGTGCGTATGTGCAGTGATGGGGCTCTGAGAAAAAGCTGGGTGGGCGCCACGGCACAGAGGGCTAGGCTGCCCCTTGGGACACCCACATCTCACTTCATTGCGGGAGGGAATCAGCAGACGGAAGAGTCTCTTCCTCGCCCTTTCCCCCTCCCCCCACCTCTCTCATAAATAAAAATACACTGAAATGCTTTTTTAAAAAACTGTCAGGAGAGGCTGGCACTATGAGGTAGTAGGCTAAGCCTCTGCCTGCAGCGTCAGCATCCCATATGGGTGCTGGTTCTAGTTCCGGCTGCTCCTCTTTCGATCCGGCTCTCTGCTGTGGCCTGGGAAAGCAGTAGAAGATGGCCCACGTGCTTGGGCCCCTGCACCCACCTGGGAGAGCCGGAAGAAGCTCCTGGCTCCTGGCTTCAGATCAGCCCAGCTCAGGCCACTGCAGCCATTTGGGGAGTGAACCAGAGGACAGAAGACCTTTCTCTGTGCCTCTCCCTCTCTCTGTCTGCAATTCTACCTCTCAAATAAACAGATAAAAGTTTAAAAAAAAAAAAAAAACTTCAAGGAATTAACTAAGCTGATGTGATCACTCCCCACTGAATGTGTGTATTGAATTAGCACGCCGTAGCCCATAACCATGTACAATGAAGATAATCTAAACAATCAATCAAAGACGAGAAGAGGCAGTTCAGGAAGGGAACAGCACAGCAGGGCCGCGGCACCGTGGGTAAAGCCCCGGATGCTAAGCAGGGAGACCCTCATGGATTGAGGCCTCCAACTGCTGCAGCCCTCACATGTGGCCGAAGGAGCTCTGCCCTCGGCCCCGTGACCTTCTGAGCGGACTGCGAGCGATGAGCAGGGCTCCTGGCCACGGGGGGCTGTGTGGGTGCCTGCTCCTGACCACTGGGTGGGGACGCCCTGACAGGCAGTAGAACTTGCCCCCTGCCTGCCTGAGCCACCAGCAGGCAGCCACAGTGGGCCACAGTCCTCAGGTCACGTCGTCTGCCCAGAGCTTCAGTGTGAAGACAGTGCTGACCGACCCCCGAAGCATCCGTCTCCCGGCTGCATGGCCAACCGGACACGGTCTGCTGGAAGCCCAGGATGGAGGGATCAGGCCTCAGGAACCCAGGTAGGGGAGCAGGTCAGACTGCAGTACTGAGCACCAAGGCCCCGCGGCCCCACGTCACTCCCTCCTGGCTGCAGCCTGGGAAACCCCATCGTGCACTGGGACAGGGCAGATGGAAACTGGGGGAGGGAAACAGTTCACACACAGCATCTGTCTGTCTGTCTGTCTCTCTCTCTCTCGGCCCCTGGACTCAGGAATCAAAAGAAGACAGGACATGATCTGCTGTGCTGGCCCTGCAGTCGCTGGGTGCTTCCCCAGGCACCCACATCTATCCATGGCGCCTTCCTCCCAGCGCTGGCCAGGCCAGCAAACAACCTACCCTGGGACACAGCCACACACACGCATAGAGCGAACGGCTTTCTGCAAGGAAGTTTTGTCATTTTTGCTAGGTAATTGTGGCCAACGCCCCCGACTCGCTCTCCCTTGTCAGCATCACAAACCCCAGCTTCTGGGGGAAATTGGGGAGAAACAAACAAAGCCAGGTTCCCCGCCCAGGGAACACACAGGGCCTTAGGGGCGAGAGCTCCGGACAGGTGTATGGAGGGACCCCGAGCCCCACCTCCCGTGACACGTGAACCCCAAGCTAACACGCTCAGCCCTTGCTGTGCCCTGGGGTCTAAGAGGCGGGCTCTTGCTGCTTGGCAACAAGCTCGGGCTCAACAAATCCGTAAATGGCAAAATACAAGGGCACCGTGCCCACGGTGCGCAATACAGCCGCAGCCGCTGCAGGCTCGCGGTGAGTTAAAGCAGCAAACCGACTCCGAGGGCCTGAGGGGCCTGCCCCTCTTCTAGGCCCGGATCCGCGGGGCTGGGTGGCTTCTCACACACTCCCACTGTCACCTTTACTTCCCGTGCTGTAACGCTCAGGGCGACAGGCTTCGGGAAGACTTGGGTCCAGACTTTGGAGGAATGATGGGGGAGGCCTGATGGGGGAGGGCTGCGGGTGGGAGAAACCCACCCAGTAGGTTCCAACAGCGAAGTCGAATTTCCTCCGCCAGGTATTTAAAAGTTAAGCCTTCCAAATACCATGTTCATTAACACACGGGCTCCGTGAATAGCTGGCCGGAATTTTCTGCCCCCCCGCCCCGCCCCCCCTTGCCTGCATTCCCAACTTGGCTTCATAGAAGGCTTCATTGTAACCCAGGAGCATTGTTCGGCATTAATTTCTATGACAAGGGACCCAAAACACAGGGTGCTGAGAGTAACAAAACAGAGTTAGGGAAGCAGCCATGACTTGGCACCAAGAGTGACAAGCGGCAGAAAAGCCAGCGTTGCAGGATCTGCAGTGGCGTGGGCTGCCTACGAGCAATCTTTTCTCTTGCAAACAGTGTCATATTCTTTTCAAGCACATTTAGGACGCGGCTCAAGCTGTGTCTTATGTTTTGTCATAATAAACACAGTCAGTTTACTGTAACAAAGACGTGCGAGTGGTGATGGGTTGAAAGCCAGGGTGCAACAGCATCAGCGGGGCGGGGGTGGGTGGGCAGTCCACCGGCCAAATAAAAGACCAGCCAGCCGTCTGCAGAGTCCTCTTGGAAGAACAGAAAAAGCCAGTGTTTCCTCACGGGACTGACACGGAATGCCAAGATATCTTGCTGAGCGCGGTTCTGTTGTCACTTAAGGCAATGAGCAACTAAAAATAGCAAATAGAGCCCCAAACACTGGGCTCTCCTAGCTGCTTTTAAAAGAAAAAGCAACTCCAGGAGAAGACGCAAAACTTGGGTGCACTGTTCCAAGTGGAATCACGACTTCTTACGGAAAACGCTATGGTGAGTTTTTGTGTGTATCCGCTTATTGCAGCGCTGGTCAAATTGTTTTTGCAATTTTTGATAAAGGTGAAATGCAGAGTGCACACTCAAGTCATCTTACCATATCTTGAACAAACGCCCTTTCACAGTCAAGTTCATATTGTAATCTTGCTCTCCCGTCGATTAACTGAAACACAGAAGAGTATCGCGGTATCATTGAGGATCAGAGCACCTGGAGCCCTTCCTCCATAGAACTCAGTGGTGTTTCCACACGAGCAAGGTGGATCACAATACGAATAAAGGAATAGATTAACTCCTGGGATACCGTATTATAATAACGCATTATTATAGAAGCAAGCAAAGTATACACAGAAAATCCCAATGTGGTAGAGCCTTCCTCACTTCCTGCCCCCCCCAAATGTGACAACAATACATAGAGTCTGACCAGAAAAACAAACTGATTTCACCCATTCTGTGATTTCTTCTTCTCTTTTAGGTTTTCATGCTATACAAGGGACGTTCAAGAAGTTCCTAGGGAAATGCACAGAGTAGGAAAAATCTATGCACAGACTTCAAAAACCTTTACACCAAAATAACACTTACTTATAAGCAATGCCATTGTCCACAAACTTTCGGGAGCACCCTGGCTCCTGTGTGTGGATCACACCGCTTTCCTGTCGACCATCAATAGCCGTCGGCAGAAGAGACAGCAGGGCGGCTGTGCCCACGCACCTAGCTACCCGTGTGCTACGTACCCTTGGTCTGCCCATGCAGCTCACTGATCCACGTACATGCACTGTCCTTGTGGCTCAGGACTGTCCACAGCTTCCCTGGTCTGTCTGTCCCAGCAGCCTCTTGGCTGCTCTCTGGCTCATTCTCTTTCTGGAGCACAACCACGTTCCTGCCACAGCGTCCGGGCTCCCCGAGGCACTCAGAAGGGAATGGAAGCTCCGGGGCACAGCCAACACCCATCTGCTGCGGCTGACCACGCACCCTTCCCTTCCCATCCTGAGCGCCGGCTTCTGCACGCTCCTCTCTGGAAGCCAGCTCAGCCTCCTTCCCGCCTTCCCTGACGCCTTCCATCCAGGCTGGGTGCGCCTCCCTGTGTGCTGACACTATCCCACCTGTGCGGCCACCTGTCCTCGCTGCAGGAGGACACCCACGAGAACGGGTTACGCTGTGACAGGCGCAGATACAGCTGTGATCAGGTGGCCGGGATCTGAGATGCAACAGCTGGGCTGGTGTTGTGGCGGCGAAGCTCAGCCTCGTCCCCCTTCCCATACGGGCACCGGTTTGAGTCCTGGCTGCTGCCCTTCTGATCCAGCTGCCTGCTGGTGGCCTGGAAAAGCAGTGGAAGATGGCCAAGTGCGTGGGCCCCTGCCACCCATGCAGGAGACCCGAATGAAGTTCCTGGTTCCTGGCTTTGGGTCTGCCCAGCTCCAGCCTTGCAGCCATTTGGAGAGTGAACCAGCGGATGGAAAACCTCTGTCTGTTCTCCCTCCCTCTCTCCCTCTCTGTAACTCTGCCTTTCAAACAAATAAATAAATCTTTAAAAAAAAAAAAAAAGGAAAAGAAACGCTTTAAATCAAGGGACGAGTGCTGGCCCTCGGCAGGCGGCTCGTGAAGTCTGAAAGCTGTTTCCTCTTCATTTCAGACGTTGGCAGCAGGAAGGTGGCACGCTAGACTCCCTTGCTGTCTGGCAGGACCTAGGTGCCAGCCCTCGCACACGGGGCGGAGCACAGGGGAAATGAGGCAAAACCCGGAAATGGATCGGTGGGTCCGAGAAAGCAGCTCCCAACTCTGACCTGTGTCCGGGGCAGGGGAGGTGCCCCTAAACCTGGCTCTTGGAAGGAAGTTCACCTGAAACCCGAGCTCCATCGCCAGCTGCACAGCCAGTTCTGGCTGAGACCCACGGGGCCCTGGGCCCTGGAGATGCAGCTCGTGTACTTAAGCAGCTGGATTTGTAATGTTGCCTAATTTTAACCCACAACCTGAGAGTTGAGGGACTGGAAAACGAGTTGGGTCTGCGTGCAATGATTTGGGATGTGACTCTGCCTTCTCATCAGTGAAGCTGAGTACCCAAGGGGCCCAGGCCCAGGCGCAGCGCTGGGGACGCCCCACAGGCCGGGAGAGGGCAGTGTTAGGGAGACCCTACCGGCAGGGACATGCCAGGCCCAACACAGCACAAGCAGGGCACCTGGTCTCCTCTCCTCTCCTCTCCCCTCCCCTCCCCTCCCCTCCTCTCCTCTCTCCCCTCCTCTCCTCTCCTCTCCTCTCCTCTCCTTCTTGCTTTCTTTCTTTTGACAGGCAGAGTGGACAGTGAGAGAGAGAGACAGAGAGAAAGGTCTTCCTTTTGCCATTGGTTCACCCTCCAATGGCCGCTGTGGCTTGTGCACTGCGGCCGGCGCACCACGCTGATCTGATGGCAGGAGCCAGGTACTTCTCCTGGTCTCCCATGGGGTGCAGGGCCCAAGCACTTGGGCCGTCCTCCACTGCACTCCCTGGCCATAGCAGAGAGCTGGCCTGGAAGAGAGGCAACCGGGACAGAATTCGGCGCTCCGACCGGGACTAGAACCCGGTGTGCTGGCTCCGCAAGGCGGAGGATTAGCCTATTGAGCCACGGCGCTGGCCAAGGGCACCTGGTTTTCATGAGACGGAGAGAATCCCCTGCTCTTGGTAAGAGGTCTAGCAGACGACCTAAGCCCAACTCACACGCATTCAGCAGAGTGAACATCTACCAACACGTGATCTGATGACCTCACGGCTCTTTCTCAACAGAAGTTTTCCACAGGCACAAGCACACCTTTGGACCTCTCTGGGTCCTGGACCCTTGGGTTCCATACAAGCAACAGAGGGGATGCTTGAGGGCCCCTTTCACCCCTTTCAGGGGAACACTCGAGGCAGTGGGCTCCAATGTTGGAAGCCGCGCTCATCCCTAGCCACCGCCCCCAAGTGACGGGGACAGTTCCATGCGGAAAGCAAAACCCTCCTCCACCTCTCAGGCGCCGGGCACACAGGGCTCTCTCCCCAGCAGAGCTGATATTTCAATTTAAAAGAGTCATTTATCAATGTAAAGATGGTACAGTACCTTTTGAATAGTTTTCTGATCCTTTTCTGAGATCTCTTTCAGACTCATATATTCAGCTTCTGAAAACAAAAGCGGAGAGAGGCCGACCATGAAATTACACGCGTATGCCCCGACATTCAGGCCGTCTGCTCTGGCCAGGCGGGAAGCCCCCCGGCAGGCCTGGTGGACGCGAGTCCTAGCGGGACTGTGACTTTCACAACTGCCCTTGACATTCAGGGCCTTCCTCCCGCTGTTCAGACGGCTGGTCAGAGAGAGAAGAAGAAGGGAAGTTCAAGATCCAAGTGTGGCTGGGGGCGGAAGGCTTTTCATCGCCACTAGCAGTGGACACCACGGCTCTTAGCCACAGCCAATACAAAGTGCTTTAGCAGGTGGCACTTTATGACTCAATAAGGACTACAGCAACCTGGGGTGGGGGGGGAGAAGCATCACACTTATTAGGGCCACACTGGCAGGGTGCGATGTTATAACTGGGGAAGGCCGTGGTGTGTCTCAGTCTCTCAGGGTTTCCCAGCGAGATTTTCATTGCCTGCATACTACCAGACTAAGGGCAATGTTACAGAATTAACAGTTACATTAACAAGTTAATGAAAAGGACACAGAGAGCAACCTCACTGTGGCGATTCAAATGTGACTTTCGTCGGTGTTTGGGGTACGAACCAGCAGGAATCAAGTTCACAAACAAGCCGTGTTTACAGCTTCCATCAGAAATCCCAGACAGTGAGTTGTGGGTGGTGGCGTGCTCTTCGTGAAGAACTAACTCTGTCACCGCTACGAGGCACGTCCTGACACGGACGGGGAATGTTCAGGGAATGAGGGAAGCCTACGAAACCAGTCGGCTGCCGTTCCTAGGGGAAGCAGGGGCTTCCCCAGACAGATCCTCTGTCTGCAGCGAGGGACCAGGTCTTACACAGAAACCGAAGCTGGCTAGGACCTGGCTCTCTCAAGCACAGATAAGCAAGCGAGTGACAAGCCGCAGCTGGGAACTGTACACCGCGTGCCCAGTGCCTGGGTTATTTGTTTCTCCAGCGTGACTTCCAAGCCTTACCTAATTCCGCATTTTCTCTCAGATTCATCTGCAGCTCTTCTTCCAGTTCCGAGACGACCTGCAGCAGCCTCTCATTTTCCAGTTTGTACTCCATGATCTCCCGGTCCACGTTGGATTTTGTGGAGCTGGTCTTTTTGGCAAAGGAGTCCTGCGAAGACGGAGAAACCCATATTCCTTACCGCGGGGGTGGGTGGGTGGGGGTGTTAAGCACGCGACGCCGCGGACAATACGGACGATGCTATCATTTTCTGAATTCTATGACACACTTACAATATGAATAGTCAAAACGCAAGGAGACTCCACGGAGCTCGCGCGAAGAAAGGCCGCAGCGCCTGCTATACAAAGACCGCAGCCCATGGGGGCGTTTTATTGACGGGAATAAAGCATATCATACTGTCTGTGTGCCCTCATCGTTCAGGTCAATTCATCAGGGAGCCTGTGTCCCGGAGGCAGCTGGGGCCCCCCACCCACAGCTCCCTCTGTGCGTCTGAAGTGCTGTCCGCCCGTAACTAGGCAGGCTGGGGAGACCGGGGCGGGCAGCGCCAGGGGGTGGCAAAGTGCAGCGGGCTAAGGAGGGGGGCTTGTCGCCTTTGTGGCACTCCCCGGTGTCAGCACTGCCGGTGTCGTGAGGAGCACATCACATGTCAAAGCCGTGACGTTTTCCGCCTGGGAGCCGCATGGAGTCCACCAGGCGCGCGGATGTGCACACAGTTGGTTTACTGCTGGGTGGAGGAGCCACCCAGAGGCAATTCACATTCGGCACGTTAACGTGGCTTTGCATGCCTGTCACCGTGGCCTGTGCAGGCCTCCCTGGGCTATTGAGGGCCTGGGTTTAAATCTCTATGCAAACAGTGATTACCTTGTAAGAAGGTTTGGCGATAACTTGCAACAAAGGACTTTAAAGTTATAGTTTTAGTAAGGCCAACTCATTTACATTTTTATTATGTGCGTCCTTTGTTTAGGGCTTTCTGGGACGGCCTTTTTCTTACGCCACAGAGGCTGATGGGGACAGCTCCTCTTTCTTTCTCCGACTTCTCCATGTCTGTCTCACAGCTATTGAGAACATCTGAATATGCTGCCTTATGCTTGTCTCCATTGGGCGGCCACACGTTTCTTCTGAAAATTAAGATGTAATGGACGGGCGGGGCTGGTGCAGAACTTCAACGCTCCGTGACGGCAAAAACAGCACAGTCCCGAGACAATTCAAGAGGCGGAAGACGCCACGCGCCTCGCCCAAGTGACGACACACACTAAAAATACTTCCCAGCTTTACCCTTCAGGTCAACTGTAACCCATTCTTTTTGTGGGAATTCTATGATTTGCAAATGAGTCTGAAGGAATTCTCCCCCTCAAAAACAAAGTCACTCCTAAACATGTCCTGATTTCCTTCTGGAAGTGAACTTCCACTTGGCTTTAGGGATTATTAAGATATTTCCCCCAGTGACCTCACTGTCCCAAGGGAAAAACAGGCCATCAAAATGTGTTCTAAGGGAGGAGATGTACAGTTTGGCATACATTCCCATGGACTTACACCTAAGGGTAAAGCTAAAAATTTGCCATAGGACTCCAAATTCCATTAAGTTGGCAGGTACCAATGCCATCTTACATGTTAAAGTGATCATATTAAGTGTGTAACTGATCATATAGATAGGATTAAGTGTCAAAGGGATCACATAAATAAGACCAAGTGTCTGGTAATTCTATCTATTGTTAAATAGATAGAATTAAAAAAAGATAGAATGATCCAACATGGGAAGCAGGCCACACAGCAGACTCATAGAATGACAAATGCCCTAAATAGCACTCTGACCTCAGAATCAGCCCTTAAGTCTTTTAGATCTGGCTGAAAAGCCCAGGAGAGAATTTCAGGCATGGAAAGCCAAGACACTGTGGCAAAAAATAACCTACAAGGATCTCTGTGAGTGAGACCCCAGTGGAAAGAAGGGGTCATAACAGAAGGAGGTACCTTTCTCTGAAGGGAGGAGAGAACTTCCCCTTTGTATATGGCCCTGTCTAAATATCAACAAAGCTTGTGGACTCAAAAAGCTTCCATAGCCTCAGCAGCTCATGTCAAGAGCCTTGGGTGGTCACTGATGTCAAAAATAAGAGTGTAGTTGTTAAATCAATAACAGGAGTCGCTGTGCACTTACTCCCCATGTAGGACCTCTGTCCTTAATGAGATGTACTATGAGAATTAACAGTAAAACCTGTCTTCAAACAGTACTTTATACTTTGTGTGTCTGTGTGGGTGCAAACAGTGGCAATCTCTACTAAGCATAGAGTTGGTCTTCTGTATATAAAGTGAATTAAAAAAGAATCTTGGTGGGGAATAGAATGGCAGAGAAGAGTGTGAGGTGGGATGGGAGTGGGGGTGGGAGGACGGGAATGGGGAGAAGAAACACTGTATTCTTAAAAGCTGTACATGTGAGATTTGTATTCATTAAATAAAAACCTTTAAAAAAAGAAATGTGTTGTTGTACCTTAAAAAGCCCTTTAAAGAGTGACTGATGAATGAGAGTGCATACCTAGGGGTTGTATTTAAATCCTCTGCTACATGTGACACTGCAGGACACTCAGTTAGAAAGCTTCAGCACTCTGCCTCACCGGTCCGAGTAGGTCGCTGGAGGCAGTTCATTTTAACAAATGATAACTGACAAACCAAGTTAGTAGTTAACGAACAACACTGTTCCCTTCCTGGAAAAAGGAAGGAACCCGGCCATTAATTTCTTGCCCCGCCATGTTCCATTTGAGGCCACCACAGACTGAATCAACAAGTCATTCATCGACGTAAAGTGCCGTGTGAGTGTTTTAAAGCAGACACTGGCCTTGCAAGCTGAAGCAATGTACCCTAACACAGGGGCAGCCCACAAGGGAGCACCTGTCCCCACGACGCTCTGCGTCAATCAGTGCAGTGCGTACAAGGGCAGCAGCTGACACCTACAGGCGACTGCTGAGGGCAGCAGCACCCAGGGAGAATGTACTGGGTGTCTGCACAGTCCCAGTCCCGTTCCCGGGAGGTGAGCCTGCAGCTCTGGCCCCACCGCTTGTCAGCTGCAGGAACTGCGAGTGGTTGACCGTCTGGCCGCCCGCGGCCATGAGGACACTCATTAGCAACACGAACAAAGGAGAGCTCTGGGTTGCCGTGGTCCTGGGCTACACTCTGAGCGGCACGTTTTGTGGTGGTGTGCCTACTGCCATCTGCCCACTCGGCGAGGGCGAGCTGGCTTAAGCCTCGAGACTTCTTTAAAAATAAACCAGGCTTGTAAGCAAGGTAAAGGCTAAAGTAGGGTGTGTGAGAGAGAGAGAGAGACAGAGGGGGAGAACTGTGATCATTCTGGAACTTTCAGTCTGTGAAGGCACTGGCCAATCTTAGAGTTTCCTACTCTGTGATGACGAGGACTTCACGGGGTGGCACTGTGCACCTCTTCATTTGTGAATATTCACACGGCATACAGAATTATTGTTTCCTGGCTTCAGGATCCCAAAAAGCGATTCTCTAGAGAATGCTTTGTGAGAAACGGGTGCGGCAGAAAGCCTGGCTACTCAAAGTGTGGTCCACGGACCAGGAACCTAGGCACACGTGGGAACTTCCAGTCCAGACCTCCGGGCGTCCGCAGCTCGGCAAGATCTGCAAGTGACGGCTAAGTGCAGAGCAGCCGGAGCGCGGTCTGTGCCCCCTCGGCTGCTTTCCATGACGTTGGTGTCTTCATCCCACAGCCTGCGGATGTCTCCATTTGCTGCTGGGGGGAGGAGTAGGGCTCTGATGCGTGCCCGGGGCCTCATGACAGCCAGGAAGGAGAGCAGGTGCATCCTCAGTGAGTGACAGCCAGGGAGGTGGCACGCTGGGCAGCGCAGCCCTGCAGAGCCGCTGCTGAATGCCAGCTCTGTTTCAGAGCCGTCGGCAACAGGCAGATACGTTCCCCAGCAGAGGGTGGGGTGGGGGGTTGATGGTGGCGTGGCTTGTCCGTGTTGGGGTAAGAAAGAACAATGGGAAGCCTGTTTAAAATGGCACGTCCGGCTGAAATTAAAACATGCTAGCAAGCACAAGTGTGTGTGTGTGCGCGCACACACTCACACACATACACACTCCTCTGGGCTGACCTCTTGTAGGGCTCCCCCAGGGACTGGCCAATGGACAGCAGGGTAACCTGACACCTGCCGCTGTGTCCCGGTGGCCCCTCACAGAACAAAACGGAAAACCGCATTGGCCCCTTCCATGAGACTGCTCTTGGAGAGACTCCACGTGGATTGGAGCCGGAGATGAAGCATCTGTAACCAGAGGGGCCTCCTTTCCCGATGGCCGTTTGCCTCCAGGGGAACTACGTGACTACTGATTCACCACAGGGCTGCTTGTGTAAGTTGGCCATCAGGAAAAATAAACTAGCGAGCTTTAAGTAAACGATGTAGATAAACTATTCATTTTCAAGTTACTTCCATACTGACTTTTTAGTTTTTAATTGATCTCCCAATAAACTCTGTACTCCAAATCGAATTCCGGGCGAGAATGACAGTGGGTTGTTTAGACCACTAGAGGGGGCAGTTGTATAAGATAACGTTTCTAGTAGAAAAATGAGCCTCTAGGACTGGAGGGCCCTGGAGTTTTAGGAAACTGTTTTTGGAGGATTTAAAAAAAAAAAAATTTTCCAGGGGTTTCTTTGCTGTGACCCCAGATCTGCGTCTGTGCCCCTGAAATGCACACTTGTGTGCTCTGTGCCACCTCGATCGTGAGACCAGAGCCGATGTGTTTTATGGACAGGGTCCCTGGGAGGAACCTGCATACCTGGCCAAGATCAGAGTTCCCTCACCTTCCTCACATCACGCGGTGTTGGTAGGCAGGAGGGGGGCACAGTACCGTGGCATTAGGGGAGGTGTTTGGCAGGGCAGCAAAGACACCATGTGGGATGCCCAATTTCCGTTAACACAGGGCCTGGCTTGGAGTCCCGGCTCTGCTTCCGCCAATCCCCGCTTCCTGCTAAGGTGCGCCCAGGGAGGCAGCCCCTGTCACCCACATGGGAGACCTGACTTGAGCTCCTGGCTTTCACCTTGCCCAGCCCGATACTACAGGCCTCTGGGGCGACCTCCACAGATGGCAAATCTATCTGTGTTTGTATGTATATGTGTGTACACATGTGCACACAAGGCACCTTTCAAATTAAAAACACAGAATCATCAGGGCGAGGCCAGGGGATTCTGAGTGCCATCCTGACCCAGGGCACAGCCAGCCCCCCGCCTGCTCTCCTCCCAAAGGCCCTGCCCACCCTCACTCTTGCCCTGGACGGCCCAGCAGCCCCGTGCACATGTCTCAGGTATGGGGAGTTCTCACCGACAGGGGAGGTTCTCAACAGCCCAGAGTGCCGGTCGGTACACTTTCTGGAGTATAACCCAGCCAGTCATAACGGCTTGTGTTAACCAGAACGTGTATGGTCACCTTCTTCAGGGCACTAAGCGCCCTCCACGCTCAGCCAGCAGCCGTCCACCTCCGCCAGGCAGGTGTCGCTTTGCACTGCACAGAGGGAAGCACCCTGCCACACCTACGGCAGATGCCTTTGGCGCAGGCGGGATTCAGAGTGGCCTGTGAGAATTTTCAGTCTCTTCTGTTCAATTCTTGTCTCCCAACAGTAAGGCAAGCGTAGGTGTAGACCCACAGGAAGGCGGAAGTGGGTGTAAACGTTGGGTGTGTTTTCTCCTCCAAGGCCATGGAACCCACGCAGATAAGGAAGAGTCGGGTTCACCAGGTGGATGGAAATGACACCTGATATTACGGTGCTCAGCAGGTGTTCTGCACGCAAGGCTTGTGTTGGCTTCCTTTTTTTTTTTTTTTTTTTTTTTTTTGACAGGCAGAGTGGACAGTGAGAGAGAGAGACAGAGAGAAAGGTCTTCCTTTGCCATTGGTTCACCCTCCAATGGCCACCGCGGCCGGTGCGCTGCAGCCGGTGCACCGCGCTGATCTGATGGCAGGAGCCAGGTGCTTCTCCTGGTCTCCCATGGGGTGCAGGGCCCAAGCACTTGGGCCATCCTCCACTGCACTCCCGGGCCACAGCAGAGAGCTGGCCTGGAAGAGGGGCAACCGGGACAGAATCCGGTGCCCCGACCGGGACTAGAACCTGGGGTGCCAGCGCCGCAGGCGGAGGATTAGACTAGTGAGCTGCGGTGCCGGCCTTCTTCCCCTCTTACAACCTTGCAGTTTCAAAGAAAACATGTATGATTTATATAAACCATGGAGGCATTGCTAGGGACCAGAGATCTGAGGTCTTCCCAGGGCTACCATGTTGCTCCATGATTCCCGGGACTTTTCTCATGCACGCCTGTGCACATGTCCCTCACTGGCTCTGGGCTGTGGCTGGGCCCCAGGCAGCGGGGGCTGGGAGTTATACTCATGATGCCAGTGCACTCACTTCTGGGGGCCCCCGCTCCCCAGGGCCTTTCAAATCCTCCGCCTGGCCAGGAGCTGCCTCAGCCCTGCTGCGGCCTTTCTGTGTGTTTGTTGCATTTGGAGGGAGCAGAGAGGCAGCTTCTGACTCCCTCGGCAACGGGCAGAGCCGGGGCGGGGGTGGGGGATCCTCTCGAGATTTCGCTTCTGGACATTCTGACGTGCAGGTCATCCTGCTCGAAGCTTCCGGCTTGGCAACATCAGCGGTGTGTCTTTCAAGTGACCTCGAGAGCACAAAGAGGTGGCAATCTCCAGAATCACAACCGAAACCCATTGCACACTCGTCTAGAGCGGGACTTTCCTTTTTTTCCAGTGGGAGGTGAAGTATCTGATTTCTGCTATAAATTTCAAAATTGAGAACAACCGTGTTGCTCCTGTTTTGAAGCTATGGTGAGATTCTGGAAGGTGGACGGGCTCATCTCGTGGAGAGATGCCCTTGGTGTGTCTACTGGATCGCACTTGTTCTTAACACAAGCTTTTAGCTGTGTATGAATTTATTTACATGCATTCAAAGTCAGGCTTCTTTGCCTTGGAACTTACCACTTTTTTAAATCCGTATTCCTCGTACTGGTCTAGCTCTTCTTTCAGCTCCCTAATAATTTCTTCTCTCTCTTTTACTTTTCTTAGCAAAACGCCTATCTTGACACTAGACGCGTCTTGCAAAGCAGCCCTCTCTTCATCTACGTCGAAGAATTGCTGCAGGAGGAAAACACCGAGAATCAGACCCGAGGGCAGCACCCGGGAGCCACGCGGCACTGATTTAGCTGCTGCCTTCAAATTATGCTGTCATTTATAAAGCACGTGTGGATTTTAGTAAACAACGATTCGTCTATAAGACATTCTGAAGTGCCATGCAACACGGCACAGCGCTATCCTGTGAAACACAGAGCCTGGGGTACTACACAACTGCATCAGAGCAAGGTGGCAGCTGCCCTCCCCCACCCCCCCGAACACACACACACACACACAGTAGCACAGGAGCCCCGCCCATCCCCACGGACCCACATACGCACACACACACACACAGTAGCACAGGAGCCCCGCCCATCCCCACGGACCCACATACCCACACACACACACACAGTAGCACAGGAGCCCTACCCATCCCCACCAACACACCCACACACACAGTAGCACTGGAGCCCCGCCCATCTCCACCAACACACACACACACACACACCCACACACACAGTAGCACAGGAGCCCCGCCCATCCCCACCAACACACACACACTCACACACACAGTAGCACAGGAGCCCCGCCCAGCCCCACTGATGAGCACACAGACACACACACACACACAGCAGCACTGAGCCCCGTCCATCCCCACCGACACACATACATACACACACACACGCACACACACAGCAGCACTGAGCCCCGCCCAGCCCCACTGACACACACACCCACACACACACAGCAGCACTGGAGCCCTGCCCATCCCCACCGACACACCACACACACACACACACACAGACAGCAGCACTGGAGCCCCGCCCAGCCCCCCCCCCCACACAGCAGCACCGGAGCCCCACCCAGCCCCCCCCACAGATGGCAGCAGTGGAGCCCCGCCCAGCCCCCCCCCATAGATGGCAGCACTGGAGCCCCGCCCAACCCCCCCAGCATGCTCACGCCCCCTCACAGCAGTAACGACTTAGCAGGCAGGTAGGCACACATCCGCAGATGCAGGTGCCGTGGTGGGGGCTCCAGCACCCAGGTAGGAGGCTTCACAGCTCTGGTAGTGGGGCAGGCATTTGGGATGCCTCTTGGGACCACTGCATCTAATACTGGAGCACCTAGTTCGAGCCCTGGCTCCTCCACTTCCGGTTGGGCTTTCTGCCAATGCGCCCTGGCAAGCAGTGGTGATGGCTCAAGTGGTTGGATCTCTGCCATCTACTTGGAAGCTGGATTGAGTTCCCATCTCCCAGATGGGAGCTCTCCCTCACATAAAATTAAAAAAAAAAAAAAGTAAACGCTGTCTCAAAAACCAGTACTAAAAACCAAATCTATAATCATTTGCTAATTATTATAATTCCATGGCATGTAATGTAGAGAGATAGAAAGAGTGACATCGAAAGCATAAACTATGCGGGGTGGTGGTGAGCAACAGTGTAGAAAGTATGCGCTCAGCTGAGAATGGAATCCGATCAGCTCCACGACGATGCCCATAAGCTCCCTGGTAGCAAGAGAAATGGGATCTCGGGCCAGGATCACGGCACAGAGGGTTCAGCTGCCACATCCCCCGTGAGTGTGGCTCCACTTCCAAGCCAGCTCCCTGGTAATGCACCTGAGAAGGCGTGGGAGGAGGGCCCAAGTGCATGGGCCCCTGACACCCACGGGGGAGGCCCAGATGGAGCTCCAGGCTCCCGGCTTCAGCCTGACTCAGCCCCACCATTGTGGCCATTTTGAGAGTGAACCAGCGGATGAAGATATCTCTCTCTCTCTCTCTCTCTCTCTTCTTCTTCTTCTTCTCTGTCATTCTGCCTTTCAGATAAACACACAAATCATTAAAAATTAGGAGATCTGGAAGAAGCTGCCTGGCCCAGCCCTGGCCACTGCAGCTATTTGGGCAGTGACCCAGCAGATGGAAGACCTCTCTGTCTCTCCCACTCTCTGTAACTCTGATTTTCAAATAAATAAACCTTTAAAAATAAATAAATAAGACCTAAGCTCAAGGAAAGGGGTGCTCAGGGTGACAGGGGTGTCACTGCCTGAGGGTGGTCTCCTGGGACAGAACTAGCAAATCTATCAACCGAGGCGCACGCACGCACACACGTGCACACACGTCTGCATAGACACATATCCAAGTCTGTGTCTTTGACAACTGGCAAGCTGACTCAGCTGGGTCACCCATCAGTCTGGACGCTGGTGTGCAGGCACACTTTGGAGACTGACATCTACATCAGTAGACGCAAGTAACAGGTTCTCCTCCACAGCTCCACCCTGTGGGTAGGCCTTGCCCAATCTGCTGAAGCTACAACTGGCTGAGAAAGAGCCTCAGGAAGGGGCAATGTGGCCAGCACCCTGCCTCAGCACCGCACTGCTCTCTCCTGCCCGACTTCCCAGTGTGGGACCCTCAGCTCCCACCACTGCGTGAGCCACGTCCCTGGCCTCCCTCCCATCCTCACCCCCCACCCCTTCTTCTCTCTCGTTCTCTGTCTTCCTGCCTCCACAGCCTATTGGTTCTGTTTCTCCGGAGAACTCCGCCCAGTATCTGGATCTAGGTGACTGTTAAGGTCACAGCAACACCTGTGCTTGGCAATCCAAGGCCGGCGTTTACTGTGGCCTGTCTCCTTCCCATCCACGGCAGGAGGGAAGCACGCGCCCAGCACATCTGCTCAGTCCTCCCCTCACTCAACCAGGGACGCTGACTGCACTGCACACGGAGCTTGGGACGCAGGGCGACGGGAGCAGGAGAGGCAGAAGCGTGCGCTGCCCTTCAAATTCACAGAGGCAAGAAAATTTTATCTTCGAATTTAATTCCTTGGGTCTTGCAAGATACGTTCAATCTTAACTTCTCTTCTTTGGCATTTGCAAGTAGAAAAGGGTTCATGGTCAAAGCTGGGGCACAGCTGTGTTGTTGGCTTTTCATTATTTTATTTTATTTTTGTTTGAAAAAGAGAGTGACGGAGAGAGAGAGAGAGAGAGAAAGTTCCCCCACTGCTTTACTCCGCATATACCTGTGACAGCTGGGGGCTGGGCCAGACCTAAGCCAGGAGCCTGGAATTTGATAAAGGTGTCCAGGTGGGGAACAGGGACCTACATATGGAGATCCCACTGCCAGCTCCCAGGGGTGGATTAGCAGGCAGGTGCACTGGCAGCGGAAATGGGATGCGATCCCAGCCCCTCTGATATAGGATGCGAGTGCCTAAACAGCAGGTTAAACTGCTGTACCCCAACACCCACACAAAGGCTTTTTATTGTTAAAATAATTTCATGATGTTACTGGCTCTCACATGACAAACTCCATGATAGATCATATTGGACAACATAGCTGGATATCCCTTGAGGTGAGAAACAGACTAGCACCGGACGTACAATGACCAAAAGTGTGAGGTCCTCCAGAGAAACAGAGCCAAGAGGTTTCGGACAGAGATGTGGACGTGGAGGAGGAGGATGGTTGGTTGTAGGGAAAGATGTAGAGGTAGAGGCAGCTGTAGCCGTAGAGGTGAGCACAGATGTGGATGAAGGTACAGGGGCAGGTGTAGCTGTAGAAGTGAGCACAGATGTGGATGAAGGTACAGGGGCAGGTGTAGCTGTAGTGAGCACAGATGTGGATGAAGGTGTAGGGGCAGGTGTAGCTGTAGAGTGAGCACAGATGTGGATGAAGGTGTAGGGGCAGGTGTAGCTGTAGAGTGAGCACAGATGAGGATGAAGGTACAGGGGCAGGTGTAGCTGTAGAGTGAGCACAGATGAGGATGAAGGTGTAGGGGCAGGTGTAGCTGTAGAAGTGAGCACAGATGTGGATGAAGGTGTAGGGGCAGGTGTAGCTGTAGAGTGAGCACAGATGTGGATGAAGGTGTAGGTGCAAGTGTAGCTGTAGAGTGAGCACAGATGTGGATGAAGGTACAGGGCAGGTGTAGCTGTAGAGTGAGCACAGATGTGGATGAAGGTACAGGGGCAGGTGTAGCTGTAGACGTGAGCACAGATGTGGATGAAGGTGTAGGGGCAGGTGTAGCTGTAGAAGTGTGCACAGATGAGGATGAAGGTGTAGGGGCAGGTGTAGCTGTAGAAGTGAGCACAGATGAGGATGAAGGTGTAGGGGCAGGTGTAGCTGTAGAAGTGAGCACAGATGTGGATGAAGGTGTAGGGGCAGGTGTAGCTGTAGAAGTGAGCACAGATGTGGATGAAGGTGTAGGGGCAGGTGTAGCTGTAGACGTGAGCACAGATGAGGATGAAGGTGTAGGGGCAGGTGTAGCTGTAGAAGTGAGCACAGATGTGGATGAAGGTACAGGGGCAGGTGTGCTGTAGAGTGAGCACAGATGAGGATGAAGGTACAGGGGCAGGTGTAGCTGTAGAAGTGAGCACAGATGAGGATGAAGGTACAGGGGCAGGTGTAGCTGTAGAGTGAGCACAGATGAGGATGAAGGTGTAGGGGCAGGTGTAGCTGTAGAAGTGAGCACAGATGTGGATGAAGGTGTAGGGGCAGGTGTAGCTGTAGACGTGAGCACAGATGAGGATGAAGGTGTAGGGGCAGGTGTAGCTGTAGAGTGAGCACAGATGAGGATGAAGGTGTAGGGGCAGGTGTAGCTGTAGAGTGAGCACAGATGAGGATGAAGGTGTAGGGGCAGGTGTAGCTGTAGAGTGAGCACAGATGAGGATGAAGGTGTAGGGGCAGATGTAGCTGTAGAGTGAGCACAGATGTGGATGAAGGTACAGGGGCAGGTGTAGCTGTAGAAGTGAGCACAGATGTGGATGAAGGTGTAGGGGCAGGTGTAGCTGTAGAGTGAGCACAGATGTGGATGAAGGTACAGGGGCAGGTGTAGCTGTAGAAGTGAGCACAGATGAGGATGAAGGTGTAGGGGCAGGTGTAGCTGTAGAGTGAGCACAGATGAGGATGAAGGTACAGGGGCAGGTGTAGCTGTAGAGTGAGCACAGATGAGGATGAAGGTGTAGGGCAGGTGTAACTGTAGAAGTGAGCACAGATGAGGATGAAGGTACAGGGGCAGGTGTAGCTGTAGAGTGAGCACAGATGAGGATGAAGGTACAGGGCAGGTGTAGCTGTAGAGTGAGCACAGATGAGGATGAAGGTACAGGG